ATATATATATATATATATAATTATAGCAATACTACCTACAAAGATTTATTGCAAATAATACAGCACGTTATACAACATATAGACACCTGTCACTAAATAGTATATACAGCAGTCTGCATGTTTTATTTTGCTGATTTCTTCGGTACAAGTCTTTTAGAAAAAGAGTTATAATATTCTTGGTGTTGATGTGTGTTGCTCCACACCTTATAATCGAGATATTGCTCCCAGTGACTTTCCCCGTTTCTTGCATGGAAGAAATTCCTGAAAAGGCTTCGCTTTCCAGCAAATGAAGACTAAATCTCCAATGCAAAGTGGCAGAATCCTTTGACATTAAACTTTAAATTTTATCCCATGGTAAGTCATGATTGCTGTGGTTCTTATTTTGGAAAGAAGCTGAATTATTGTCGTATCTTTTGCAATAAAACTTTACAGATAAACTACATTTTGTTTCTGTTTTTTTAGGGGGGGGGGCAAGGGTAACATGCTCTCCTTATGATCTTCATATAATTTCAAATTTCATACAGATTTAAATTTTTATGGATATGTTCAAAATTTTCTATGAATATATTTTCCTCAGAATATTATGTATTTACTCAAATAAAAAAATAATTATAAAATAATTTAAAATTTCTTTTGAACAACAATTTATTATAAAGAGCAATTCAGAAAATTTGAATAAAGCAATCTCATAGCAACTGTCAAAATATGTTTTTTCATGCATAAGTTCATGCATATGTTCATGCTTATGTTTTTTCATGCATAGGATATTTCATGCATATGTTCATGCTTATGTTTTTTCATGCATATGTTCAAAATTTTCTATGAATATATTTTCTTCAGAATATTATATATTTACTCAAATAAAAAAAAGATTAATTGAAAATTTCTTTTGAACAGCAATTTATTATAAACTGCAATTCAAAAAATTTGAATAAAGCAATCTCATAGCAACCGTCAAAATGACATAAAAACGGCTAGTTCCCGATTCAGGCGTTCCCAGACGAAGCAGACGACGAAAATTGTTTTATTTCAGTTGAGGGGATAAGAAAAGAACATGTTTTGAATTCCGATTTGAGTAGATTTCATATTTTCTCGAAAAAATTTGTTTAGTTTCAAAATGAAGTTCATACGCCAGATTAAATAAAATACTTATATTAAATTATTTACTTACATGCAATTATATGTTCATTTATATTAAGTTACATGTTCATTTTTTAGCTGTAGGGAAAAAAAAATTTTAAAAATTTGTACTGCTATTACTGTAACAATTTGTACTGCCATTTTTATAAAGGCGATTGTGCATTGTTTTCCTTATTCGTTTTTTTTATTATATGATATACGGGTATTGTATATAACCATCAATGCTTAATCTTAACCAAAATTAGAGAATTAAATAAAATTTTAGATTTCTGAATATTTTATTGAAATTAGTTTTTTGATTTTCGATTAAGTATTTAAAAAAATTTATTTATCTAAAAGGAATGTGCGTTTTTCGATGAATTGTGATAATTTGAAGATATGATGATATTTAATCGCAACCAAAATTAGCATATTAAATGAAATTTTAGATTTTTAAAAATTTTATTGAAATATGATATTACTTTTTTTGATCTTCGATTAATTTAAAAAAATATCAGTATATGGGACCAATTATAATAATCTGAAAATCCACCTCTTTAAATAAGACCAATTAACAACCCTCACTGAGACGAAACAATTTTCCATGACCATCTCAGATGGAAACGTGTGAAACGGTACTTAACAATTAAGATAACTATCTGTTTAAGACAAGCAATAATTTCAACCAAACAATATAATGAATCTGCATAAAAGCTATATGGAACAATCACTATTATTAAAAAAGCTATTTAAGTTAAGCAATAATTTTAACCAAACAATCTAATGAAACTACGAAAAAACTAGATGGAACAATCACTATTATTAAAAAACATATTTAAAAAAACTATTTAAGATAAGCAATAATTTTAACCAAACAATATAATTAAACTACGAAAAAACTAGATGGAACAATCACTATTATTAAAAATCCTATTTAAAAAAACTATTTAGGATGAGCAATAATTTTAACCAAACAATATAATGAAACTACGAAAAAACTAGATGGAACAATCAATATTATTAAAAAAAACTAAGATAAGCAATAATTTTTTACCAAACAATATGATGAAACTACGAAAAAACTAAATAGAACAATCACTATTATTGAAAAAACTAAGATCAGCAATAATTTTAACTAAACAATAAAATGAAACTACAAAAAAACTATAAGGATCAATCACTATTATTAAAAAACAATTTAAAAAAACTATTTAAGATAAGCAATAATTTCAACCAAGCAATATAATGAAACTACGAAAAAAATACATAGAACAATCACTATTATTACAAAACAATTTAAAAAAAACTATTTACGAAAAGCAATAATTGTAGCCAAACAATATAATGAAACTACGAAAAAACTATAAGGAACAATCACTATTATTAAAAAACAATTTTAAAAAAACTATTTCAGATAAGCAATAATTTTAACCAAACAATATGATGAAACTACGAAAGAGCTACATAGAACAATCACTATTATTAAATTCATACTTGAAAAACTTATGAAAATACTATTTTATTCATAATAACATTATTAACAACAGAATTATTAATAATATTAGATTTACGAATATTTAGAACATTTTTAATTGCATTAATATTTTTAAGGCGGAATTAATATAAATATACAAAGTACAAAAATAGTTTCTATACTTCTGTTGATTCTGCCCCAAAAAAATTTATTTTAAAGACTTATTATAAACATACTTTTGATGAAAAAAACAATATTTTCGTGAAGTTCGAATTGTATTTTATTTTTAATTCTATTTAGGTAAATATTTCATTTAATTAAATTACGTGAATTGCATAAATATTAATTTAAATTACCTAAATATTTCCTGATCTTTTAAAAAACATTTGTCTAACTACAAATGTTACTCAATTTTCTTATTAATTAATATTAGCAAAACGTAACACAAGCCAGGTTTTTAAATAATATAATAAATAATTTTTGTATTTACTGTGAACATAAAACCATAAAAGCTATGACTTAACACTTGAAACATAATATTATAAAGTATGACAGATCTGAAAATAAAAAAACTTTGAAACACAATTTTTCAGTTCTCCTGTGACTTTTTAGTATTCGTGAAAAATTCTCTTTATTTGAACAGCATGCGAGTTCCTGGCTAAAATAGTATTAATTTTCCTAATTTTTTTTAATTTATTAAAAGTAACATAAATAACAATGGAATTTCATAATACTGATGCAAATTTAACTCTATGGGAAAACTAGATTAAATTACATAGTAAATCAAAGTCAGGTATTAAAACCTAATGTAATCAGTAAAATAAAAATTAAATATTTAAACTGACCATGTCAGCATTAGATTTAACTGAATTTGGATCCTGATTTAATTTCAGATACTAAAACCCAATATGATCAGTAAAATCTTAATTTTACAAAAAAATTAAATGTTTAATTTGACCTTATCAGTGAATCATTAAAGATAGAACTGAATTAAGTTAAAGGCGATTGTCCCTTGATAAGAGTGTCACATCAGTGATTTTTAAGGCTCTCCATGACGGATAAGTACCCAAATGTATTGATAAGAATCGTACAATCAATATTAATCATGTTTAATAAACTTGTTTAATAAGCCCTTATTATTGATTGAAATTGACCTGGAATTTTGTCATATATATGTATGAACATAAAGGTACTCATCAGGACACATTTTTTACGACAGCAATAGAGGCATTTCAAAATAAAGAATGATTATTCTAAGATAAAAATAATTCTTCATAATGCGTCTATGTCTCTTAAAAATTAAAGAAAAATAATGTAATTGTAAATGAGTTTAAGATGAAAGGAGGAAAGCAGAAACACAAGCTCGCAGCTTTGAAGTAGAATAAAACAAAAATACATAAAAATTAAATATACTAATCTAACAGTGTACAAAAATTGATGAAAAGAAAAAATTTGATGATGTGATTTCGCTTTATCTGCAAATGCTTTAGCTTATATTAGCTTTATCGTGTAAAATAATTGATAAAAAAAAATCTATAAAAATAATATTTTTAAAAACCACTTTTTTGTAGTGGAGAATAATAAATAAAAAACAAAAATTTGACAAACGAAAAACGTTGGGCGCATGCAATACATAACAGTAACAGTATGTGTGCTCATGAGAATATGTGTATGTGTATCTCTAATTGTATCTGAATGCGAATGTGGAATATGTTTGTGCATATGCACGTGTATGTGGTTGTGCATGTGTATGAGTAAGAAAAATGTGTATATGTACTGTTACGTATTTCATGCGCCCCACGTTTCTCGTTTTTCAAATTTTCGTTTTTTAATTATTAATCAAAAACGTGGTTTTTAAAAATATTATTTTGATTTTTTTTTTTGTACTCACTTCCAAGATCTCAACTTTTTCACTCTCTGTACATAAATCTTTTCAACTGACATGTGACACTAATTTGAAATAATCGAATCGACAACGAAAGACAATCGCGAAAATATTAAATTTTTTTTAATTTATATTTTATTTTACTTTGTATGTCTTTTTTCTCTTCATTTTCATGCATTGTCATCCAATTCTGAACTGTATGCCAAATTTGAAGTCTGTAGCTAGTCGGGAAGTCAGTTTAAAATCGATTACAAAAATTCCACCCGAGCAGACATACACGGAGGCAGGTTGATATAAACGTGGTAAAAAATTATAAAGCAACTTACATTTCAATGTTTCCATCTATTAAAACCACTTTAATCATAATAATTGGAAAATTTAAGCAAGAAACTCATAATATGAAAGAAATTAATAAAAACAATAAATATTTAAATTGTAAAATCATTAAAAAATTAAAAAAAACATACAAATAGGTAATATTTGTAAAATTTATATATATAATTTTTTTTAACAAAATGAGCTGCCTTTAAAAATGAAGCTCATATTTCATGAATGCAAATATGTCCACGTATCTTACATTGAATAACAAAATTAAATATTTGAAACTTTACAAGCGGGAATTCAAAATTAATAAAATGTTGAAATAAGGTATCAGAGTTTATAAGAAAAAATACTTATTTTAAAGTATTTTTTCTATTATTTTTTTCATAGTGGAGTATTATCATCATAACCTCATACTAAAACAAACAAAAAATGATACAAATAATATTATATTTTATCATGTTTTTACCCATGAAATATCTACAATGAAACAAAATAGCTAAATTGTGCGTAAATATGCTTTACAAATTATTTAATAAACACTCCGAACTGATAAAACGTATTATGCTTGTACAAATTAGATTCAACTTTATCTCTGTATCGAAAATAAAATGACAAAATCAATAAAATGAAAAAATAAAATACATAATATCGAAAATGCATTAGGCAATAAAAAAAACCTTTCAAACCAATGAAATACATATACTAAATCCATAGTTCTTCGTATATTCTTCTTTCTGGAATCTCTATTAAAAAGAAAAGAAAGTTGATAACTAATTTAAATTTAATAGTAAGAGAAATAAATTTGCATAAAAAAATTACTAAAACTTTATTTTTCGGTCAGAAAAACTTTCAGAAAAATAAAATTTTTCACTAAATTTTTATTTTTAATCGTTTGGAATTTTAAAACACGAAAAGAAATTTTTTTTTGCAGGAAAAAACGTGCTTGTTCGAATTATCCATCTAATTTCTGATAACTTTAGTGCTTTTTTTATTACGCATTGGCACCATGGGTCTCGTTTTGGGTTTCATGGCGTGTGCACTTTATTTGGACGTCATCACTCCTTTCAACTGCTTTCAAGAGTAATAGTAAACAGTGCGCATGCGTCGTCATTGCATGTGTTGCTATGGCGACAGCTGCTGTTTGATAATTCTTTTAGAATTCTTTTTTTTTCTTTTTTTTCACCAGCACTCATTCTTACTGTATTTGTATAATAATAATTTAAAGTATTTTTAGATTCTTTTTATTATTAACTAATAATTATTGTCTTGACGGTGATTTTAATATAAATATGAATACTGAAAACGGAAAAGTATTTTGTGACGTTTTGAAACACGTATATAGCCAGGATTTGAAAACCAATTCAACGACAAACATCAATTGAGACAGTTTTTGCAACCCATGATTTGAAATGTTGTGGCGTTTATCGGAGTCAAACCAGAAAAAAAAGCATTTGACGAATGAGTAACCAGCGATCGTGACAAAGCGATCACAATTTTTTTTTTCATCTGGTTCATCACATATTTATACTTTATAGAAAAAATTAAAATCAAATGAATATTATTCATGAGATAAAAAATGATTATGAAAAACACAAAAATTAAAGCAGCCAATGATTTATTTTATAATGGACAGAAATTTGAATATGGTAGTTCATGAGAAATAGTATTATCTTAAAAGTAACTGATTATCTCTATCAGGAAATATTAATACATTTAAAAATTAGAATAAAAACAAATTAAAGTATATAAAATTTGTTGAATATGTTGCCAATTAATAAGTAAAACCAAGAAGTAACTGTTCACACAGCAATTAATTAATAATACACCAAAATTTCCTATTTATACCCAAAAACATTTCGCTTTTTTATTAAGTTTCAACACTCCGTAAATACCTGCCAGTGTTATTTTTAACGTCATTAAATCATTAACATCAAGGCAAAATAAAATTTCAAAAATCTGAATTTTAATTTTTTTTTAAATAAATTAATTTGAAATGAATTTTCTTAAACTAAATTTCTAAATCCTATAAGGTAAAGTACACAAAGATAATATCAAAATAGCAAATATAATTCCAAAAACAATAAAGATTTAGGAAAATTAAAAGGAAGCAAAAGGACGAAAGTAAAAGCGTTTATCAAATTGCAATGCATTTGCACTGACGCGATTACCAGTTTTAATGTACAAAATTGGCATTTACCTAAAATAAAAAATTAGATAATACAGTCAAACCCCGCTATAGTGAACTCCCGGATATAGTGAACGAAGTGTTAGCTCCCATGTCTTGCTGCCCACATATTATGTTACTTTTTGTGGATATAGTGAAGCAAAAAAAAAGAGAAAGTTAGATATTATGAACACCGACTGGCTTGTGTTGGGGTTAGGGAACTGCCCCTGCATCGAAAACGTTCTGGGTTCGAATCCCGGGCAAGGCATGGATGTTCTTTCCTTCGCTGTACTATTTGTCCTTACTGTGGGAGCAACGTTGGCCCACATAATATGGTGCCCCTGAAAGAGAGATCAACAAATCTGCCCTGTAAATGCCTCAATTGACGAAAATGTTAACACAAGTGGGCATTGAAAAAAAAAAGATATTATGAACTTTTTCCTGTCTTCGACTGATTTATTTTTTTCATTTATAGTACATATTCATAATAATTTTGAAACTTCTACTTCAAAATAAATACATATACCGATTTTTTAAACCATCAATATCATGGAATGTAGCAATAATCATTTTTCCTTGTTTGCTTCATTATTGAATAGCATTAATGAATTGGTTCGTCATTCAAAGAAGTCGCAATCTTACAGTATCTGGACAAATGAGGGCCTCGAGACAAAGCCTATGAATTTGCTATACGATTTGGTAGGACTACTTTAAGGCGCTTGAATGGCTGGGTTTAAAAAGTGGAATAACATGAATTCAGGAAAAATTAACAGAGAGTCGGGAAGTGTTTCTATATCTGATGTTGAGGATTGCTCATCAGCTAAAGATTACTAATTTTTTTTTGTACGCAAGACGAAAAGTAATAAAAAATAAAAATCAACATATTTTTGTTACAATGTATTATTTTTCGGTCATTTATTTTAATTTCATTTTATTGGTCATCTATTTAAATAATGTGTTATAAAAGGGGGGAGTAAGGAACCATTAGATATTATTGCTTGCGGAACGGATATAGTGAAGTACCGGTTATAGTGAACCGAAATTTCGGTTCTTTGAAGGTTCACTATAGCGGGGTTTGACTGATTTTTTTGTAAGCAAGACAAAAAGTAATAAAAAATAAAAATTAACATATTTTTGTTACAACGTATTATTTTTCGGTCATTTATTTTAATTTCAATTTATTGGTCATTTATTTAAATAATGTGTTATAAAAGGGGAGTTAGGAACCATTAGTTAAAATTGTTTGCAGAACGGATAAAGTGAAGTACCGGCTATAGTGAACCGAAATTTCGGTCCCTTGAAGGATCACTATAGCGGGGCTTGACTAATTTTTTTGTAAGCAAGACAAAAAGTAATAAAAAATAAAAATTAACATATTTTTGTTACAACGTATTATTTTTCGGTCATTTATTTTAATTTCAATTTATTGGTCATTTATTTAAATAACGTGCTATAAAAGGGGGGAGTTAGGAACCATTAGATAAAATTGCTTGCGGAACGGATATAGTGAAGTACCGGTTATAGTGAACCGAAATTTCGGTCCTTTGAAGGTTCACTATAGCGGGTTTTGACTGCATATATAGTTCAAATAATTACCCTCTTAGCGTAAAACATACTTGTTTTATAATTTCTTATCCTGTCTCGTTGACTCGATTTACTGTAAAAGCGATTTGCCAGCCATTCGACTCATTGTTTTGTTCAGTTAGTTGAACATGAAAGTTGATGTTGTTCATTTCTGCAATGCTTTTCAAAATATGGACTGAAATATCAAGATCGCACTTCAGGGCTCTTGTTAGACATTTCATCATCTGGTTTTCTTTCCCAGCAGGTCTGAAATTAATAAATAGGAAACTCAAGACACACTGGGAGTTGTAACTAGACTAACTACATTATGAGAGGTAATTAGAAAATATCTTGTAGATTGATTATTTCTCAACCAACTTACAGTATTGGCTTGAAACCTTCCTCATTATTTATGAAAGTTTGCCGTAGATATACCGATAATCCTGGCGAACATAAATCTGCTTCATTTTTATCCAAATTTATAATGCATTTTTGGACGTAATCTAATGGTGGCCCCATATTTGCTAGAAATAAAAAAAATAGCGATTAAAAAGATGATAAAAAATAATACTTTTACTGTGAAAACATTTTATAATATAAATGTTTGAAAACGGACAAATACCACAACAAATATACAACAAATCAAAAATCTAAAACTATAATTGTGAATTTTCTAAAAACAAATCATTGATAGCAAACTAGACACCCTAATTTCATCCTCGGGGGCAGAGAGTAGTCATCTCAAAATTCTTCAATAGGAGACCGTAATTTCATCCTCAGGGGCAGAGCGTTGTCAACTCAAAACTCTTCAATAGGAACCCCTGATTTCATCCTAATCGGCAGAGCGTTGTCAACTCAAAATTCTTCAAGAGGAACCCCTAATTTCCTCCTCGGGGGCAGAGAGTCGTCATCTCAAAATTCTTCAAAAAGAACCCCTAATTTCATCCTCAGGGGCAGAGCGTTATCAACTCAAAACTCTTCAATAGGAACCCCTGATTTCATCCAGGGTGGCAGAGCGTTGTCAACTCAAAACTCTTCAATAGGAACCCCTGATTTCATCCTGGGTGGCAGAGCGTTGTCAACTCAAAATTCTTCAAAAGGAACCCCTAATTTCCTCCTCGGGGGCAGATTTTTGCCATCTCAAAATTCTTCAAAAGGAACCCCTAATTTCATCCTCGGGGGCAGAGAGTCGTCATCTCAAAATTCTTCAATAGGAGACCGTAATTTCATCCTCAGGGGCAGAGCGTTGTCAACTCAAAACTCTTCAATAATAACCCCCGATTTCATCCTGGGTGGCAGAGCGTTTTCAACTCAAAATTCTTCAAGAGGAACCCCTAATTTCCTCCTCGGGGGCAGATTGTTGTCATCTCAAAATTCTTTAAGAGGAACCCGTAATTTCCTCCTCGGGGGCAGATTGCTGTCATCTCAAAATTCTTCAAAAGGAACCCCTAATTTCATCCTCGGGGGCAGAGTGTTGTCAACTCAAAATTCTTCAATAGGAATTCTTATTTTAATTTCATATTTGTATTTTTCAGAAGAAAAAAACAAATAGACTTGCCGATTGTTGCATATTATTGTAACACTATAACTGCGTAAGGAAACTGGTATCCTTACGCAGTACTGGTATCCTTTCGATATCTATATTTTAGCAGACTTTTGTCTGTTAAAATATAGCTATCTTAATCAATACTAGTCAGATCGAAAAACTTGTTTCAAGAGCTGAAGGAAGGAACCTGATTTGGAAACAGGAGTCTAGTTTGTTATCATTACCCAACAGGTCAAGTTAATCAAAATGGCCGATATTACTTATTATTATTATTGTTCGGACTTGTATCTCACAAAATATATGTATTTTAATTATTTCTACCCCAATTTGGAAGAATCCATTTATATTTGTGTTCCGAAATAATAAAATAAAAAGGCTTCAATTTTAAAAAAAATAAAAATTATTTTTTCGTTAGAGTTTCTGTTCTAAAAATAATAAATAAAAAAGCTACTTTTTCTTAGAGGGGGATCCGATTTAACGCTTAGAGTGGAATCCCTCTAAGCGTTAGTCCCTGCTTTTTTCGAACTTTCAGATGCATACTTTCTTGCATCAAAAAAGGACATATGAACATTTCTCTACAATTTCCACAAAGAGGTGCAACACTTGACAGAAAAAATATTTTTCTTTTAGAAATTTTCTGTTAAGAGAATTCTGTTTTTAGGATTAAAAACGTTAAAAAAATACTTTAAAAAGAAACTCTTTTCCGTTAAGAACCTCTGTTAGAAACTTTTGTTCCAGAAACTATAAAAGAAAAAAGATGAGCTTCCAAATCAAATCTTAAGGTGAAAATCAAAACTAACAAACCTGATAAAAATATTGTCCTAATAAAATATTTTTTAAGAAGGTTGAAATAAAATACTTTAAAAAGGAAATATCTTTCGCAAGAGAACCTCTGTTAGAAAGTTTTGTTCCGTAAACAAACTAACTTTAAAAGAAAAAAGGTGAGCTCCCCAAGTCAAATTTTAAAGTGAAAATCAAAATTAATAAATCTAATAAAAATTTGACCTGATTAAATACTTTTAAAAAGGTTTAAGAAATACTTCAAAAAGGAAATATTTTTCTCAAGAGAACCTCTGTTAGAAAGTTTTGTTCCAGAAACTATCAATGAAAAAAACANCTGTTAGAAAGTTTTGTTCCAGAAACTATCAATGAAAAAAGCATGAGCTCTCCAAATCAAACTTTAAAGTGAAAATCAAATTTAACAAACCTGATAGTCCTTCGGGAGATTTTTCAAGAGGCAAATCCACAGTAAAACGATAGAAATCAAAAAACAATTCAGTGATCAATATCCGAGCTTGATATGTGCAGTGGGCAAAATTCATATCCAAACACCAACGTTTGATTGGTCTCCTGTGACAATAGAATTCATGAACAATTTATATAAAAAGTTAGAATCCAAAAACACGAAAATTCTAAAAGATATGTATGTTAGCCAAAACAGCACTTCATCAGTGGACACACTGTCTGCTAAACTTTTGACTTGTTCTTTTTTTGTGTGTATCATTGAATTTTAATATTTGTTTCAATGTAGGAATTTTTGATAGCCTTTTCTAATTTAGTTTATCCATTATGGGGTCTCGGACCACAGTCAGTTTTTGGTTTAACCACTGAATACAGAAAGGCTCCAGTGTATTAGCAGACAGTGTGTTCCAGTGGCGGATCCAGCGGGGGGTCATAGGGGTCATGACCCCCCAAAATTGAAAAAAAATGAAAATAATAACTTTTTTAATAGTTTACAAAAGAATTAAAATATTTTAAAAATTATTTAAGGGGACCTATACACCTAGGTAGATCGTTCCTTTTCAACTCTTCGACGTCTCAAAACTTAGAACAACTCAACTTAGAACAACTCAAAATCAAGAACTATTAAATGGATTATTAAACATTCATCAAGAAATTGATTTGGATGCTGAAAAAATCATTGTCAGATTTGCCTAAGTTTCTAAAAAACGCATTACATTTATTATTTAAAGATTTTGAAAACTTGAATTATTTATGTATTGTTCTATTGTTCATTATGAAAAAAATAAATAAGAAGACTAGCATTAAAAACCCCAGTTTTTTTAAAAAAAATAACATTTTTAAAAAAAAATTGCAAAAAAAGTTAATTGTGGGGGGGGGGGAATCTGAGTCTTAACAATTGATCCCATACATAAAAAGTTTTCCTGCCTAAACTTTTCAAGAAACACAGTATATTTTTTAGGACCAGAACATGCTTATTTATACATGTTTGTAATTTAATTTTATAACCTGTAATATCGTTTGTTCAAATTAATATTAAAATTAAAGTAAATCCCCCGAACAAATGAGTTAGAAATTTATCACGTAATAATACTATCCATTAGATCAAAAGGTGCTAAAGTGCTCTATTTCTTATAAGAATTATTAAGAGTTATCGGAAATTGCATATCCTTAGTACGTGTTTGTAATATAAATACATGTTAGTGATTTAATTTTATAGCCTGTATTATCGTTTCTTCAAATTAATATTAAAGTAACTCCCTCGAACAAATGAGATTGAAATTTATCACGTAATAATACTATCCTTTAGATCAAAAGNAATTTTAATAACTCTGCCAGTTAGTGCAGCAACAGCAGAACGTTCCTTTTCAACTCTTCGACGTCTCAAAACTTAGAACAACTCAACTTAGAACAACTCAAAATCAAGAACTATTAAATGGATTATTAAACATTCATCAAGAAATTGATCTGGATGCTGAAAAAATCATTGTCAGATTTGCCTAAGTTTCTAAAACACTCATTACATTTATTATTTAAAGATTTTGAAAACTTGAATTATTTATGTATTGTTCTATTGTTCATTATGAAAAAAAATAAATAAGAAGACTAGCATTAAAAGCCCCAGTTTTTTTAAATAATTGTGGGGGGGGGGGGAATCTGAGTCTTAACAATTGATCCCATACATAAAAAGTTCTCCTGCCTAAACTTTTCAAGAAACACAGTATATTTTTTAGGACCAGAACATGCTTATTTATACATGTTTGTAATTTAATTTTATAACCTGTAATATCGTTTGTTCAAATTAATATTAAAATTAAAGTAAATCCCCCGAACAAATGAGTTAGAAATTTATCACGTAATAATACTATCCATTAGATCAAAAGGTGCTAAAGTGCTCTATTTCTTATAAGAATTATTAAGAGTTATCGGAAATTGCATATCCTTAGTACGTGTTTGTAATATAAATACATGTTAGTGATTTAATTTTATAGCCTGTATTATCGTTTCTTCAAATTAATATTAAAGTAACTCCCTCGAACAAATGAGATTGAAATTTATCACGTAATAATACTATCCTTTAGATCAAAAGGTGTTAAAGCTCTCTCTTTTTTATAAGAATTATTAAGTGTAATCAGAAAGTTCATGTCCATCAACTTATAACAGTAAAACTATGTCCTTATTATCCAAAACTAATTGCTTTGAATCTTAATATTAAACTTACAGAGCAAAGAATGTTTCCGATAAGCTGAAGTTAATAAACTTTTCGAGAGCATTATATAATCCAGGAATACAGTATTCTAAACTTTGCTGATTTAATGTTGAAAAGCATTCTTTTAGTATTTGCTCATCTATGAAGTTATGTACATGTAATCCTGAAAAAACAAAACATTGAGTTTTAATATTTATAAGAACTGATTAAAAAATCATTTCATCTTTAAATTTGTAATATCAATTAAAAATTTGCAAATGCAGGTTCTTATCAGACGCATTTTTTAATTAAATGAGGATTAAATAATCTACCAGAATCTAAGTCAGTTGGATTAAAAATTTCAAAGAGGACAGTATTTTTAAATTCATGGTGTGATTTCCTCAACAGTTCATCAATAAGTATTCTGTGATAGGTGCTACAGCCACTGAATATCTCTTTCGGACATGATGGTTCAGCTTCGGTTTCTCTGAAAATAAAAACGAGGAAAATGCTTATTGTTCTGAATACTTAAGTATAGCAGTAGTTTCTAAGACAAACTTACAAAGCTAATACAAGGTAAAAAAATACCGGTACCATTAAAAATACCGGTACTAATAAAAAGTACAGGTACTCAGGGTGCCAGGTGCACTATCTATTTATACCGTAAAATTTTACGGAACTAAAAATCTGATACACCGTAATGTTTTGATGGTAACATTTACTGTAAAATAACTGAATCACAGAAAATAAATAAAAACAACGAAAGGTAAAATATATTCTTTGTGATATGTAGATTAAAGCAAAGTAACAACGTGAATAAAGCAAAAATGAAAGTCCAGAAATCGACATTTAGTTTCTGTTCTATAAACTAGAAACTTCCTCAGTGTCTAAACAACAAATGATGGTACTTCTTCTATTTTTTTTGGTTTCTTGAAAATCATTTGGTGTTCAGATATTGGGAAGGTTCTTGTTTATAGAACTGAAACTGTAATATGTCCCTTTATGTACTTTCATTTGTGCTTTATTGAAGCTGTTTTTTACTTTAATTAAATAAATATAACTGCAAATCTACAATACAAAATTTTACGGTAAAAATGGATAGTACAGATGCTATTAAAAAAGAGTATATATATGTATAAATAACATAAAAAGCTTCAACTAATATTTTTATGTAATTCCTTTTCTTTAACTCTTTTTCTTAATTTATTATTCTAAACCAAACTCTCTGTCTCAGACCTTAGAATTCGCATCCTCTTATTTAATATATTTTTTAGTTTCAAGATTAATTAGCATTTTATTGTTTTGCCTCTAGCTAACCGTGAGAAACATAATTTTTCCGCGACTTATTTATTAGACCGATTATAATTATTTAGGTTTCTCTTATCCCCTAAAACGAAACATTTTACGGATTAATTTTGCAAGATATTCCTTAACTTTTTTTGAGGAGCACTTAAGTTTTGGACCACTTGGTTGTTCATTCTCTAATTATGATGGTGAAATTAAAAACTAATTCAACCAAATCATCATTTCTAGAAAGATTTAATTTTATATCTTACAAATAAACTATTTCAGAAATATTTCATTGAGTTCTTTCAGTACAAATATACTACTTCTGAAAGCTTTAATTGCGATCTTTTAATAGAAATATATTACTTCTAAAAGCTTTATTTAGGATCTTGCTATACAAATGCACTGTTTCTAAAAGTTTTTACTTCGATCTTACAATACAAATATGCTATTGCTAATACTTATTGTATTATTTTAAAACAAATACATAATTTAAGAATCTTCAATTTGAGTTTTTCAAAACATGCAAACAGTTTTAAGGTATAAAACTTTCTAGGACAGTCGCAGTGGCGGTATATCAATTTTTTCTTCCTTTTCTCATAAAAGGATAGTTGTAAAGATAGTACAAATATAGTACAGTACCAAGGATGGAAGTCGTTAAGGCTTACTACTGACTGACTATATTGTATTTAAAAAAAACAGACAATGAAAAAATTCTTTAAATACACATTACAAAATTTTCGAAAAAATTATTTTAGAAATATCTCACAATTTCAGCTGTGGGTTGGAGGATGGCAGAATACCACTTGATAATTTTTCAAGCAGATCTTGAAGTCCTGCGATGCAGCCAACTATAACTTCTTGATTCACAGTTTGAACACATTCATTTAGTACATTAACCATTCCAGCTAAAAGTAAAAATGATTAATAAAGTTGTAAATAATAAATACAGGGTATCCCAGGATTATTGGAACAAACTTTTAGAGTCGCATAGTAACTCATAGTCGAAAACTTCTTCGTTCGCCGCTAGGTGGCGTTTTTTCACAAGAGCATTGGGGGAAGCAGACCTGCACTGCCGCGGTATCCAACCCATTTTGTTCCATTCTGGGAGTTCGAATCACTTGCTGTCAGCCCTCACTATGCTAATTATCTAATAATGATCCATATTCCTGCAAATTGTGATGCAAATTGATGAATATCCGGCTGTCTGGTGCATCTCTCCGTGGGTGCCATTCGCGATACAATCTTTCTATTTCTCGTATGTTTTCCTCTGTCAGTCCGTGCATATCTTGCAGTTCGGTGTTCGTAGGACGTTGACAGCTCAAATTACTAGGGTAATGCATCCTCCAATGTGAATAAAAAACACCCCCAATGTTACTGCGGTAATGCATCCTCCAATGTGAATAACAACACCTCCAATGTGACAGCGGTAATGCATACTCCAATGTGAATAACACCTCCAATGTGACTGCGGTAATGCATATCCTCCAATGTGAATAACACATATTGTGAACAACAACACCTGGCAGCGAACGAAGAAGTTTTCGACCATGGGTGGCTATGCAAATCTGAATCCTTGTGATATCCTTTACTTCATCTAAAACTTTGTCCTAATTATCCTTGGACATCATGCACGGGATAGTATACTAAGAAATAGATTGATTAGAAATGTTTGAGTATTACTTTAATAAGAAACCAATTATGAAATATAATAACTACTTCAAAATGTTATATAAATATTTATTATTTCCCTCATTTTAAGCTGATTACTCAAAATGGGTGTTAATATTAAGAACCAAAAATAATCTTAAAAGCCTTTGTATGACAGGATTTAAGAGAATTTAAATGAACAAACATTTGTCTTTGACTTATCATTACCAAACTTAAAATAGTTATTAATTTAGGTTTAAAATTGCTTTACATTATTTTTTTAAGGCTTTCTTTGCCAAAACCAAAATATTTATATAAAAAAGCTTACTCATAAATGTAATTGAATAAAATGAATTGAAAACTCACAATCGATAGTCCCATTGCCAGAAACTGCAAACAATAGACTAACATAAGTCATCGTGTGACGTGAAACAAGCTCAGTCAGTATCAAGCGAGCATCCGCAGAACAATTTTTAAAAGCTGGCTCAAAACAGCTAGATGATAGTATTCTAATCCTGTATAAAAATAAAAATTTTCTCTACATTATACTAATAAATATAAACGCAATTTGTGACTAATATTTTTGTAAGGTTTATTTTATTTTACAAAATATTTTTTCTCCTGATTTTGCGAATTCAATTTAAAGCGTACTTTATTCGTTCTCGATAACATGGTTAATGTTTATTTCAGGTTCAAACAGAATCAATACAAACTAAAATTAGTATAGTCTAGAAATCAAGCAGTGGTGGCTCAAGGGATAGAGTATTCGCCTCCCGATGAGGTCAACCGGGTTCGAATCCCAACAGTGACTGGTCGATATGAATTCCGCAATAGTCTCGCACTGACTACACTGCTGAAGTAAAATATCTTCAGTAGTTGAGGGATCATGGGTTAGGGTCCTCTTGTTGTCAGGCTGACCATGGGAGTTTTTCGTGGTTTTCCTGTGCATGTAACGCAAATGCAGGTTAGTTCCATTAAAAAAGTCCTTCACGAATGCAAAATTTTTTCTCAATACTTGATTCAGGAGTTCCCTTGTCTTCTGGATTGGTTTCAAAATGACAAGACTACGGAGTTGAACATTGGTAGCCGTGAACTCAGAATTGGGTCTGCTGTTCAACAACGGTAATAATAGTCTTAAAATCAAATAAATTTAGATACTTTTTTGTTAAATTATTATATCTTTATTGATATTAATTTAACAATAAATGGAGTGCTTAGTGCAATATAATATTCTGCCTCTTGTGTGTTTGTCACATAAAACTCATATTTTTTTAAAACGGAAGTTCCATGGTATATATGGTATTTCTGATTCACGCGTGCTCCCTGGGTAGTGCCAATTGAGTAACAGCGTTCATCAAGGCAACCTAAATATGAAGTCCAGCCTTATTCTCGATCTCCCCCGACGGAATTGCTTTCCAATTTTTAAGAATTTAATTTACTTGACTATCACCAGAATCACTATTATCGTATAGGCATAGGCGGATACAGCAGATTCCTCGACTCAGGAAGATATGTATTTTGTTTTCGTCGCACTAGAGCTGCACAATGGGCTGTTGACACCGTCTGGGAAACATCGCTGAGGATGAACCGATGACATGTCATCAATAATTTTGATCCTCTGCAGAGGGGATGCTCCTTCGCGTTGATAGCTCGACAACCTGCGCGAAGTCGAACACTTTACGGAAGAACAGTTTAACCAGGCCGATACCAAGCACCCTCGTTTCCTAGGTAGGCTGATCAAGGTGGTCACCCACCTGCTTACTGATCGCAGCCAGTGATGCTTGACTTCGGTGCTCCACTGGAAGACGTGTCTTTACGATCACTGTGGTACTCCTCGACGTAGAAAAAAGTAAATTTTTCAAAATGCTCAGTAGGGCATTTTATTTGCAAAATTTTGGTGAAAACCAAATTTGTAAAATTTTGTAAATAGTAATAAATTGCTAATTTAAGTAAATCTTTGTAAATTTATTTGTAAAATTTTGATTTTAAAACAACACAATTTATCTGTATGCAGCAAATTGGTGCAGTACGATTCGGCTACCATCTGAAATTTGTTAGATATCGATCTGAAAACAATATAAATAAGAAGCGTGAAGTAAAAACGTCTCAGTTGAAAAAAAATGTGGCTTGTCATTATATTGTTCTAAGCACTTCCTAAAGAGAGGTGAATACAGAACACTAATTTTATAACCCTATAATTTTAACCCCATAACACCCATAATTTCAAACATCCTAAGACTTACGGATACAAGTTTGTGCTTGGACGCCTATTGTCCATAATTGTAGCAATTACATCAAGTAACTCGGGTGCGCATTGCTTCAAGAGAGCTTGATCAACAACTGCCAAACATGGAGTGATTAATTCTCTTTCCGCAACTACAAATAAAAGTTCACATTAATGGAACAAATTTTCATCTAAAACGTTAAAATAATTATGTTTTAACTAGAATCCACCCTGAAAAGTGTTACAGTTTGATTTGGAATTAAATTTAATACTAAATATTTTATTAATATGTGTTTTAATTTCAGAAAAAGTATTCAACTTCATTCAGAAACTCAACATCAGAAACATTGGTCACTTCTTTAAAAACAATACTATGATGGTTTTTCTGCATAGAAACGCATGTTTGAGCAATGAAATTCAAGTGCTCCTGGCATTTTTGTTAAATTCTTCCTTTCAGAATCATCAGATTCATTCAGGCATAGTCTACCACGTGTTGAAAGAGAACGCGGTGTAGTTCGTTCACCAGGAGTTGGCTTTTGGCTCCACCTCCTCGAACGCAGAGTTCATTTCAGCGCGGGAGTAAGAGTAGAAACATCTCCGCGCTTGAAATTGAGACAACCCTTAATACGTACCAAACGCAAACAGTGAATTGTATTATACCTTTCATTACTGTAGCTAATTAAATATATTTTAGATTTAAAACCTGGTGCTTTCCTAGCAAAATGTTACAAAAAGGACAATCTATTCACTCAAAAGAGAGAGATATCAAATTTATGAAATATTTAATGTTAAAAAAATGCACATAAAGATAAATATTTTTGTCATACGATCGCCAAATAGCAACCATGTCCAGGATTGTTCACATTCTTCACCCAAAAATAGCGAAATAATATCGTCGGATATCCCGTGATGTAGGCGGACCAAGTACCAACTCCTGGTGAACGAACTATACATTATTTTTCATTCACACATAGCCTGCAACTTACTAAAAGATATTGCAACGGGGTACACTAGAGACAAACACAGTAAAACAGATATCTCTTTATTTTAACCAACAGTTTGCAAATGTGAAGGGTATTTTGATGCGAAATATTTAGATGGCCTAGATGAAACTGTTAATCAGATTTCCGATTTTAATATTAATACAATACTCTTAGATTACACAAACAATTTCACTTAAACTTTTTAGAAACCAAAACTGGAATTTTTTGCAATTGCGAATTGCAGTTTTATTTTACCTTACATAATGATAAACAAATCAATCAGGTCATCTTTATGTAAGCATTTAACCCCGAAAAATGAGAATTTAAACGAGGAAAATCGGGTGAATAAAAGACTGTCTTAAAATCTCTAATGATCTGTACAATTGTATTAGCAAAGCTAATAATGATGATCTCTAGATCTCTAATGATCTGTATAATTGTATTACCAAAGTTGATAACGATAATCTCCAAGATCTCTAATGATAAGTACAATTGTATTAACAAAGCTGAACTTGATTGTTTCTATTGTATGCTGAATATCTGAATTTAACCACCTGAATTCTTCAATAAGCAATTGCCGGAGTTTCTAGCAACCTTCATGCAATATTATGACGCATTTTACTATTTTGCGAGTTTTGTTTCAAGACCAAAGTATGAAGAAATACGGTACAATATTAACCTATAGTATGTTGCATGTGTGAACAATTAAGTTGTATGCAGTGTTTGAGAATAACTTAATTAAATTTAAATAAGTAATTTTTTAATCCTTTGATGCAGAATTTTTACAAAACATACTTTTCTAGCTTTCATTATTTTGTATTGATTTAGATCAAAAATAAGTTCAAAATATTACATTTAGTGTTTTAATAATTTATAATTATGAAATACAGCATTAAACACCCGTGTCCTTATCTGCGCCGCTGGTAAAATCCACCGAACCTAGTACGAATCTAACGAACCTAACCTCGTATAATATACAATTATGTAAAATCTCGAAAATCATTTTTGAAATTTACTTACTTGTTATTATTTGTTCAGATTTCATAGATTTTCTGTAGTCGTATTGAATACTAACCGTATTGCCAGTAACAAATTTTATCAAGTCTGTTATAATGAATCTAGTATGTCTTGAACAATGACGGAACACATGTTTTAAACATACTTGCCAGCTGCTACTGTTCAAAAAATAATTTATGTCAGAAACGTAATTTAGAAATAGTCTAAATATATTCTCGATTAAACAAATATCAAATTCACGTCCCAAAGATTTTGGTTGCATATTAGGAAGTAAGAAAAAATAGGGCATCACCATTAGGTTATTTTAGTTAGTAACATAGATTACCACAAGACTATCTAAGTTTAAAGAAAATTAAATGAATAATTTCCAGAAAAAGGCACGTAATAAGTTTAATAATTCACCACAATTTGTCACACTATTAGAATTTTCATTCTAAAATTACTGCAAAATAGCCGACAGCCGTCTGTCTTTCCAATCCACCGTAAAGTTTACTGTAAGGGACATAGTTACCTTTACGGTTTTCAAACCGTTTACAACTAGTATAGTTAAGAAACCATGAAAAACTATACGTTTTCTTAACCATTTACAACTACCAGGGTTTCAAAACTGTAAAAAAAATTAAAAAAATAAAAAAAAATTAACCAGACATTGGGGGTAGGCTTTTCGTTAGGTAATAGGTATTGAAGTTAGGCAGTAGTTGGGTTACGTTTTGTCAAATGAAGTGCAGAATATGGTTCAATTAGTTTATCTGGTTGTTTCACATTATGTAAGATATGCGAAATACTAGACTTTTCTAAAGTATGGAGCTTTATGGAGCTGCCATTTGAGCGTGAATAAAAATATCGTATTCTGATAGTCCAGGATCACAAAATGAAGGAGATCAAGACACCAAAAACTCTTCTTGTGTTGAAGGGAATGGAGAAACTATTGTGATGTCAACCGCCGATTCGTCGTTCACAAGATTCACAGATTAGCCCTCACGGCTTTAATACGTACCCACCTGCAAGGAACTAAATGACTTCATTAGATGGACCTAGTAGGTGCAATAAAATTTGGGATGCTTAACAGTATTATTGTACGGTTTTCATACTGTTTTATTATGCTTAACCGTATTATTGTGATTATTGTACTGTTTTCTGTGGGAAATCGAAAAATCCTGCAAACCTCTTATATGGAAATAAATTTTTATTTTGAAAAAAATAGGCTTTTTAAAAAGTATGGCTTACAGCTACATTACCCTAATTCCTTTTATTATACTTCATTATTTTGAATATCAATGGCGGAGGCCAAAGAAGCTCTTCCATTTTACTCTAATTGGATGTCTAAAAATCTGACTCATCTAAGGAAAACCTTAACTCAAGGATCCTTATTTTGTCAGTCTTGCCTTATAGTTTTTTTAGAACCTGAGACCATAACATCGTCTTAAACTTGCAGCCATAAGTAATTCCCAATTCCGCATAACGTGTTTTTTATTAATTTTATACTTCTGAAATTAGAATCAAACAAATGATTTGAATTATACTTATTTTCAGACGATATCTCAAACAGACCCACACTCAACCCAGAAAGGATAAGATACAGGTCGGGAAGGCAATCATTAGCCTCATCTTCATTTACTGTCATCAAGCATTCATCTACTAGAAGTTTTTCATTCTCTAAAAATAAAACAGACGCAAATTCCTATATTAATTTTCTTAATCTACATACATAATGTATAAATAGTTATGAACATTTACTGTCATCAAGCATTCATCTACTAAAATTTTTTCATTCTCTAGAAATAAAACAGGTTCAAAATTCTAGATTAATCTTCTTAATCTACATAGATAATGTATAAATAGTTAATAACATTTACTGTCATCAAGCATTCATCTACTAAAAGTTTTTCATTCTCTAGAAATAAAACAGTTGCAAATTTCTACATTAATCTTCTTAATCTACATACATAATGTATAAATAGTTAATAACATTTACTGTCATCAAACATTCATCTACTAAAATTTTTTCATTCTCTAGAAATAAAACAGGTTCAAAATTCTAGATTAATCTTCTTAACCACTTGAACTTAACGGAAATTGTGCCAGTCAATTTGGTACGAAAATTTTTTTTGATACTTTAAATCTTTGCCTTTTAAGTTTTACAAAAATGCTTTAGTTACTAGGACAGGGGTGGCGAGCCTTCATACACCAACGTGTCATTTTTTCTAGAAAATTGTTTAATTAGGTCATAGACGTGCCGTCAAATAATTTTGACTTCGTGATTATTGGGAAAATAATATAATAATACTAAGCACTATCAACTCAAAATTCTTTATTTACATTGAAAAAAAAAACATTTTGCAATGTCTCAGTTATACGCGTAATTCAACTTAAAGTAACATCAGTGTGACTTCTGTTGCTGCAGATTAGATGACAGATAACTTATATTAGGTCGTAAGATGTTAGTTTATGCAGGACTGCTAGTTTTTTTAGCTAGTTATTTATTGTAAGCTTGTTTTTTATGGTTATTAATTGTTTTTTTAGCATTAATTGTTTATTTCTTTATTAATAATTGTCTATTATTTTGTTTGTTGTTTGAGAATTTTAATTTAATTGTTACATATGCTTCATAGTGTAATAACAATTCATAGTGCAATAACAATTGTGATCTGTGGCGAGCCCCAAATATTGTGTCACGTGCCATAAATGGCACGCGTGCCATTGGTTCGCCATCCCTGTACTAGGACAAATCAATAATTCAGACACACGTATTAAAGAAATATTTATAAAAACAATTATGCTTATAAGTGTTGAAGAAACTTGAAATTTTTGAAAATTATTTCTTACTTGAGTAATTTGAAAACTAATTAAAGTGCTAGGACAGGGAAAAGGTCAAAGAATTAGAATATTTAAAGACAAGCCGTGGTGGCTCGGTGGATAGAAACCCGTTATGTGGTGAACCGGGTTTGAATCCCAGCGATGTCTGGTCGATTCCACATCATTCGACTTGCACCGACTGCAGTGCTAACGTAAAGTATACTTGTGGCGTAACTACCACTATAAATATTAAATACCAATTCAGTAGTATATAAGACATGTTAAATCGATTCTATCTTGAGGTACCTTTTGATATATGAAGGTTGACATAGTTTAAGATTAAATCCCCTCATTGGTGACCCGCGGACGGGATAAGAAATTGTCAATATTGATGGATGAATCCACATTAAAACAGTTGATTGGCTTAAAAATAAAAAGAAATCCGGTGAAGTAAATAAAGTCTCCCGGTTAATAAATAATAATGAGCGAAATGCTAGAAAAAAAATAATAGCGAAAAGCTATAAAAAAAATAAATAAATAACGAGCGAAATGCTTGGAAGAAAAAAAATATAATGAGCAAAAATTGAAGTTAATAAATAAACAGCATTAGTCAACTAGTGGTAATTGTTCATCGAATTCTATCACAGATAAAATTCTGGAAGGGGAGTAATGTGGCATAACTACCACTATAAATATTAAATACCAATTCACTAGTATATAAGAGATGTTAACTTGATTCTATCATGAGGTACCTTTTGATAGATGAAGGTTGACATAGTTTAAGATTAAATCCCCTCATACTCAGTGGTGGACTATGTAGGGTCAGTGGTTAGAGTCCCCGAGCCATCAGGCTTAACCGAGAGAGGTTTTCCTCTCCATGTAACGCAAATGCGGGTTAGTTTCATCAAAAACTCCCTCCGTGAAGGTAAATTTCCCCCAATATTTGATCCAGGAGTTCCCTTGTCCTCTGGATTGAGCTCAAAATTATAAGGCTACGGAGTACACTAGTAGGCGTGATTCACGCCTACTAGTGTAGTACACTAGTAGGCACATTGGTAGGCGTAATTCCTAAATTGGTGTTCAACGACAGTTATAAAATAAAATATTTAAAGGCAGTTGTGTTGTGCATTCCGTTTTGTTACCATTAACGTGTACATGTTATACAAGATAAATTTGAAAGGGGACCAAGATATTCGCCAAAGGAGGATAATATTTTTATAAACTTTTGAAATGGTCAGTTATTCAATAGACAACCTGAATATGCTTACTCGAGAATACAATGTATCTGCTCAAATTTTTATTTATTTGTTGGTTGAAAAATAAGATTAAATATTACTATAATATTTAGAAATTATTTTAACCCGTAAAAATCATGTATTCAAAAATTAAATAATAAAAATTAATGGGTATTCATTACCTGAAATCAACCTCATGACATTGACATGAGAAGTCTTGAAAACTATAGGAATTTTAAGAACAATTCCTTGGAACTGGTAGAATATCTTCATTATAAGCAATCGAGCCTGCATGGAACACACGCCAAATACTTCAGCTTGGCAGTCCTTACTGTCAGCTTTTGGTTTACTAAAATATAAATGTAGCAAATACAAATTAAATTGTCCGAAATATCCCTAAATTTAAAAAAAAAATCATTAACGCATCGGCTGTCGTTATGACTGTTTTATGAAGGTGATCCGAAAAATGAGCAAGATTTACCGTGAAATAGAACATTTAACATGTTCGAGAATCATTAATTGCTAAACGTGTAGTAAACAATACCATGCAAGCCGCACTGCAGAACAAAGATATGCAACTACAAGGTTGAAATTTGGCGTACCGAAAGAGTCATTATATTTTGCAGTCCGTGGAGATCGAGATTCAGACAGAAAGTAAAGTTTATTAACAAAAAGCAGACAAATACATACAAATTTAAAAAGAACGCCATCTGGCGGTATTAAAAAGAAGAAAACTTCATTGGAATCCTTCCCCGGGAATGACAACATATTTGTAAGCTATATACAGTGAGCTTTTTTTTCGAAAATCAAATAGGTCCAAATTTTAAATGCATTTTTAACGAATTTTCTCTCACTAACTTTCTATACGTTTTGTTTTACTGCTCAATAAATATATTGCAATATTTGGGAGAAGGCTTTTGCGGAGTATACTTAATGGTGTAAATGAAAACGAAAACTGGAGAAGGAGATTTAACTTTGAACTGTAAAAGATTTTTAAACAACCGGATATTATTAAATATATGCAAATAAACAGAATGAATTGGATGGCCCATGTGATTCGAATGAGTGATGGCAATACAATAAAAAAGATATTGATTTTTAGACCCACTGGAACCAGAAAGCGGGGAAGTTTGATTCGGTGGAGTCTGATTTTCTCGCAATTAGTGAAAAGATTTGGAGATCAAGGAAAAATCAGAAGGATCTTCAGAGAAAGGCATTGGCCCACACTGAGACGTCTGGTCAACTATGATGATGCACAATGAGTATAAAATTTAAAACTTGTATAATGAAGGTATGTAGAGAAAAACATAAGGAGTTCAATAGAATAAAAAAATAACATTTGATAATTAATTCGAGAAATATAAACAGTTAAACTTGTATTTAAAAAAATGCTAGCTTGCATTTTGCAACCAGTGAAAATGGTACCACAAAGTCGAAATTTTGCGCATAGAATGACCCAATTTTAATTATAAACTTAACACTTGCTTTTATATATTTTTTATTTCAATTAGATTTTTTTTAAGTTATTGCAATTTTTTTTTTTTTTTTTGAGATTTAATCTCATTCTTTCGCTTTTAAAAAAGCTTATTTATCTATTGTTTTAGAAAATTTTATTTAAATCTCTCGAGATCTTTATTTTATACTATCGTGCTTCAATTGGGTATAATATGAAAAAAACACAACTACTTTGATTTAGTAGGAACAACATATGACGCAATGCTAAACGAATGGAATTTAGTTGTTGTTTATTTAGTTATTGTTATTAGTAGTTGTTGTTATTTGTTTTAGTTGTTGTTTATTTAGTTGTATTTAGTTTCAACAACTTTTCTTTATAATGCAATAAAATCTGGCGAGCAGCTATTTAAACGATCGAACACTTTGTTTGTTTATTTGTGGCTTGAAGTTAGGCTCGCAGAAAATGCCGTTCATGGGTTAAATTTAGTAGGAACAACACAACCTGTGACGTAGGCTGTATTATACCCAATTGGGTGCTTGCACTTCAAGAAGAAGATCACGGATATTCCCCTCACACGTGACCGATGACGTCAGCTCCAGCTGATCGTTTATAAGCAAAATGGCTAGTTGAAATTGAGCAAAGTTTCTCCACCTAAGTTAGAATGTTAATTAACGTGAAGTTAATTAAATACAGTGCCGTATAGATCGTCAAATTTCTTGAAATATTATTCTTTCTCGTTTACATCTCTTACTTAACTTAGATTTATTATTTGTTTATGTATTTTATGGTATGGATATATTTTTGTTTTAAGTACCTGGTAACTTTGATGCATAATTAGTTTGTGTTCTACGTGGGTTCCTGCCTGTCTTGGCGTTAAGAAATATGAAGTGAAAGAAATTAAATCCTCATGAAAGAATCTTTGTGTAAGAATATAGAATGTGTCACTTAAGAGAATTGATAGTTGACGGGATCGGCTTAATCAAAATAGAATGGAAAGAACAGTTGCTAACGTAAACAAATACCACGCTTCAATAACCAATCAAGATCGAGATGTCCACACTACGTCACTTGCAGATATTCCATTGACATTAGAAGTAACAACGAAGAAAGAGAGTTTAGATGTCGCCATATACGAATTTTAACACATTGTAATTTTTGGAAAAAAAGATACTTAATTAAAGATTGATAAAAAAGTTTCCAGTATGAACTGTTATAATAATTCGAGATTATAATTACAAATCAATTATGAATAAAAAAAATACTTCATTATTTTCAAATACGCTGTTTGCTTAATTTTTTTCAAGTACAGATAATTATTTTTAAGTCCTGCTAAAGTTCATTTTGTTTCTATTAACATAGAAACGAAATGTCCTTACATAGTATTAGGATAATTATATATTTTATTAGCAAAAAATTTTTTTTGGAATAGGTTTGACTATTAAGAAATAAACAATAATGAATGTGAACCAATCAGGGAGTTTGGTGAGTGGCGCGAACAAGGAATGAAATCACCTAGTATCTAAAATAACTCTACTTACATTTATTTTGCTGAATGCAGTTATTTCTTATAACTTTTATTTTATAACCGTCGTTGAACAGCCGACCCAATTTTTGGGTATACCTTTAACAATGTTCAACTTCGTAGCCTTGTAATTTTGAACCCAATCCAGAGGACAAGTCAACTCCTGGATCAAATATTGGGAGAAATTTGCCTTCGTGGAGGACTTTTTGATGTAACTAATCCGCATTTGCGCTACATGGAGAGAAAGACCATGAGAACCTCCCACGGTTAGCCTGACGGCAAAGGGACTCTAACCCATTATCCGTCTACCACTGAGGATATTTTACATCAACACTGTGGTAGGTGCAAGTCGTGTGCGGATTCGTATCGACCAGCCGTCACTGGGATTCGAACCCGGAAGTCAAATTCTTTTCCCCCTGAGCCATCGCGTCTCTGAATGCAGTTATTCTCAAAGTACTGTCTTTAAAGTAAAGTAAGTAAAATCGTGATTGAAAAATGAATCTAATTATTTATAAAGGATATTTTCAATCGAAGCATAATTTGCGCTCTTTCAATTTGTATGTTAAACATTATCTCTGAAATGTTATCATAAATTTCAGCATTAAATCTCTAGAGCTAAATGATGGAAGAGTTTAGCGCGTTGTGGAAAATGCTTAGCAAGCATAATGAAAAAGTCATCTTTGAACTAACAAGAATTTTTATTAAGCAAGAAAAATTATTACTAAACTTAAACATCATAAAAGATTATAGAAGAAAACTCTCCTCGAGAGTAATCTACTCTCCATAACATGAGGTAACTAAATTCAGCCTATGCAACCATGAAAACCAAATCTAATCTCAATTCGTCATATATATACAAGCATATTTATCATCCAATCAAGAAATAACATTTGCATAATGAGGGTAGAAAACTTACACCCTTTTGCAAACTGTCCAAAACTATTCCATTGCTGAATTTTGTGAAAATTTCATTTAAGTAATTACAAAAATAATTTCAAAAAATTTCAAAAAAATAAAATACGAAATTAACAATTTATTAATAGAATTATAATTAAACTTACATCCGTGTTTCTAAAATTAATTTTAAAAAAATTGTGTTTTAAATTGTATAAAACTAGATATTATAATATATTTTAATATGAATAAGTCTAAACAAATATAGAAATTTTCAAAAAAACACCTATAATAGATCCAAAAAATTAAAACTTTACTGATTAATGCATCTGAAAACACAAATAATACTGATTTCAAAGACTGATTGCTCAAATCTATTACGAAATTTAAATACCGAAATCAAGATACATATATATATATTTAACTAAAGTTGTATATATTTCACATTTATATATACATTTATTTATACATTTATAAATTTTATTATATAATATTAATTGTGAGCTTTAATTATTACTATCATTCAATAAAAATTTAAATATTAGAAAAATATGGTAAATTTTTATATTTGGAGTAGTTGCAGTTGAATGTATTTTAAAACCACATTATTTTATTTCTATCATATTTCTATTTAATAATATATCATTGGATTGTATATATTCAAATTATTTGAATCATAGTTTCTTGTAGAAATAAGTGTTACTTTTTAAAAATTCATATAATCGTTTTTATATTATATCTGTAGCTAAATGATAACATTTATAACACCAATTAATTTGATTACAATTCCATCTACCAAACTTTAACTTTTAAAAGTTATACGCTAATTTTACTTAAATTATCATATTAGTGTTGCAAATTATTTTAATCTTAGTTCCATGCACCTACTCGGTGCTTATGATTTAAAAATTCATATACTTACAAATTTGCAAGACTTTGGCCATTTTCTAAGATTGATGTCATGATCCTTTGAAAACTTGGCATACAATCTTGCAATATTCCCGGATCAATTTCTTGCAAACATGTTTCTACCGTGCGTTTAGTTTCCTCTAAACAAATATATAGATATATGAACATTTTAAATTAGTAAAAACTACTGATACAATTTTATTTAAAAACCTAATGAGATATAACTTACCATTCAAATTATGCAACACAAAATTTTAATAGCCATACAATATATTGCATAGCAATTTAGACATAAAAGATATGAATGCGAGAAACTTAACTAAATACTTAAGACAACGTTTAAGAAGCTGTACGACTAGTATTAAAATCGAATAAGCTGTATGAATTATCTTTTTAAAAATTTTGTTTTCTTTTGTTTTGTTTATTTAAAAAAAGAGACAATAGCATAATATAATAAACGAGGGTTATGGAGTCACCAATTGAAGTTTTTAAGTTCGACTCAGAACTTTTTAGAATGCTTAACTGCAACTCCGATTTATACTAAATTTTCTCTGAATCTTAAGAATATATGAATATTATTCNTACATAATTATGCAAAATCTAGAAAGTCATTTTTAAAATTTACTTACTTGTTATGATTTGTTCAGATTTCATAGATTTACTGTAGTCGTGTTGTATACTAACCGTATTGCCAGTAACAAATTTTATCAAGTCTGTTATAATGAATCTAGTATGTCTTGAACAATGACGGAACACATGTTTTAAACACACTTGCCAGCTACTACTGTTCGAAAAATTACTTATGTTAGAAACTTAATTTAGAAATAGTCTAAATATAATTTCGATTAAACAAATATCAAACTCGCGTTACAAAGATTTTGGTTGCATTGCAAGGAGTGAGGAAAAATAAAGCATCGCCATTAGGTTTTTTTATTTGGTAGCATAGATTTAACACGAGACTGCCCAAGTTTTTAAAAAAAAATAATAATTTCCGAAAAAAAGTACATGATAAGTCTTATAATTCTCCACAATTTGTCACACGATTAGAATTTTCATTGTAAAATTACATCAAAATAGCAGATAGCCGTCTGCCTTTCCAATCAACCGTAAAGTTTACGGTAAAGAACATTCTTCTACCTTTACGGATTTGTAACCGTTTACAACTGAAATGGTTAAAAAACTATACTTTTTTTTTCAACTAGAAGAGTTTCGAAACTGCAAAAAAATTAAAATTAACCAGACATTGGAGGTAGGCTTTTCATTAGATAATAGTCATTAAAGTTGGGCAGTAGTTGGGTTATGTTTTATCAAATGAAATGCGGAATGTGGTATATCTGGTTGGTTAACTTAATGTAAGTTATCTGAAATACTATACTTTTCTAAGTTAAAGAGCGTTATGGAGCTGCCATCTGTGCGTGAAGAAGAATATCGTATTCTAATAGTCCATGGTCACAAATTGAAGGAGATCAAGACACCGAAAACTCTTCTTGTGTTGAAGGGAATGGCGAAACTATTGTGATGTCAACCGCCGATTTGTCGTTCACAAGATTCACAGATCTTGCTCTCGGCTTTATTACGTACCCACCTACAAGGAACTAAGAGGCTTCATTAGATGGACCTAATAAATACTATAAAATTCTGGATGCTTAACCGTATGTCTCTGTTTATTGTACTGTTTTCTACGGGAAATCAAGAAATCTTGCAAATTTTTTATCTGGAAATAATTCTAGAGTTTGAGAAATTTGCCTTTTTTAAAAAGTGTGGCTTGCAGTTATATTACCCAAATTCCTTTTACTATACCAATTATATTTTGAATATCAATGGAAGATGCCTAAAAAGCTCTTCCATCCCTAAATGGATGTCTAAAAATTTGACTCGGAAATTAGGGACAACCAAAACCCAAGGATCCTTATTTTGTTAGTTTTCTCCTTTCAATTTTGAACCTGTGACCATATCATCGTTTTAAACTTGCAGCCATAAGTAATTCCCAATTCCGCATAGGGTGTGCTTTTTTATTAATGAAACTTCTGGAATTAGAATCAAAGAAATAATTATGAAATATACTTATTTTCCGATGATATCTCAAACAGACCCACACTCAATCCAGAAAGGATAAGATACAGGTCAGGAAGGCAATTATTTGCTTCATCTTCATTTACTGTCATCAAGCATTCATCTACTAAAAGTTTTTCATTCTCTGAAAATAAAAACAGTTTCAAATTTCTAGATTAATCTTCATAATCTACATATATAATGTCTAAATAGTTATGAACAAAGTGTTCTTTGAAAGCTAGACCAGTACCAATTTAAAGTACCATTCAAAAATGAATTCATAATAGATTAATCCCTTAATAATAGCACAATTTTGAAGAAAACAGTCATAAAAGAAGCCATTTTTTTTTATTCAAAACAATTATACAAAACTAAGTGTATCTACAATGAACTTATTTTTAATTCTGGTTGGTTGGTTGATTCTAATGCCACTTGCCACACGGGCAAGCCTGCTTGGTGAAACCAAGCAAATTTAAGGCAGAGAGTGCGATTCTTGTTTTTCAGTGGCGCCATCTATGACCAAGAATTCGACTTCTGCCACATCATACGTCACACCTGTTTATAAGGCGGATCCATTCATACATCCATTCATTCATCCACAAATCGTAATTTTGACCTGAATCAGACAACGATCGATCTCCAATCCAGTATCCCCAGAGGTATTGGTTTGTTATGCGAACATGGAGGACTTTGCGGCTCGACAGAATTTTAACGTGCATCAGTCACCAACTACACGAAGAGTCTTCGGCCTGCGGTGTTCGAACGCCCGAACTCTCGAACATGGGCCCAGCTATCCCGGCCCCATTTTTAATTCTTGGACAGATCACAGAAATGCATATTCGATGAGGGGTGACATCTAGTTTAAAATAAACTACATGACATTAAAAAATAGTCAAATACTGTTATCTGGTATACAGAGTTAGAAATAAACACGGGTATTCCGGGCATAAGAAAAAAATTTTTTAATTGTTTGGTTATTAGGAGTTTTTAATTCTTAAATTGGATGGGCTATTCAAAGGCAGTTATAAAATAAAATATTTAAAGACAGTTGTGCTGTGCATTCTCATTCATCAGTTTGGTTACCATTAACGTTTGCAAGATAAATTTGAAAGGGGGCCAATATGGTCGCCAAAGAGGACTAATATTTTTATAAACTTTCGAAATGGTCAGTTATTTAATAGACAATCTGAATATGTTTACCCGAGAATATAATGTATCAGCACAATTTTTTATTTATTTACTGGTTGAAAAATAATATTAAATATTACTATAATATTTAGAAATTGTTTTCACTTGGTAAAATCATGCATGCAAAAAGTAAATAATGAAAATTCAATACCTGAAATTAACCTCATGACATTGACATGAGAAGTCTTAAAAACTATAGGAATTTTAAGAACAATTCCTTGGAACTGATAGAATATCTTCATTATAAGCAATCGAGCCTGCATGGAACACACGCCAAATACTTCAGCTTGGCAGTCCTTACTGTCAGCTTTTGGTTTACTAAAATATAAATGTTGCAAATACAAATTAAATTGTCCAAAATATCTCTAAATTAAAAAAAAATCATTAACGCATCTGCTGTCTTTATGACTGTTTTCCGAAGGCGATCAGAAAAATTCGCAAGATGTACCTTGTAATAGAACATTTAACATTTGATATGTTCGAGAATCATTAATTGCAAACGTGTAGTGAACAATACCATGCAAGCCGCCCTGCAGAACAAAGATATGCAACAACGATGCTGAAATTTGGTGTACCGAAAGAGTCATTATATTTTGCAGTCCGTGGAGATAGAGATTCAGACAGAAGGTAAAGGTTTATCAAGAAAAAGCAGACAAATTTAAAAAGAACGCCATTTGGCTGTATTTAGAAGAAAAAGACTTCATAGCAATCCTTTCCTTGGAATGACAACATATTTGAAGTAGTGAGCTTTCAAAATTTAGGTAAAATCCACCACGTATATCCCTAAAAGTTTGCGGTTTGCAATAATAAAAGTGTAGAAAATATAGTTGCTACATTCCTGATCCAACAATCAATTTTTAAATTGTTCAAAACCCTTTTGCAAACAGTCCAAAATTATTCCATTGCTGAATTTTGTAAAAATTTCTTTTAGGTAATGATAAAAAAAATTAAAAAATATAAAATTATTTATTCATTTTATTAATAGAATTATAATTAAACTTATTTCCGTGTGTTTAAGATTAATAAAATCAAAAATTGTCTAAAACTAGATATTGTGGTATATTGTAATATGAATAAGTCCAAACAAATACAGAAATTTATAAAAATACACCTATAATAAAATAAAATAAAGTTCAACTTTACTGATTAATGCAAAGGAAAAAACTAATTTACTGACTTCAAAGACTGATTACTCAAATATATTACGAAATTTAAATACAGAGATCTATAAATATATGCATTGGATTAAAATTGCATATTTTGCATTTTATTTTACAATATTAAAATAGATTGCGAAATTCAATTTGATGTTGAAGTCTTGGTTTTTTTTACTGAAAACTACTCACTCAATATAAATTTAAAATTAAATATTGTTAAAAAATCTCAAATTTTTATAATTGGTGTAATTGCAGTTGAATATATTTCAAAAACCACATTATTTTATTTCTTAAATATTTATTACATTTCTATATATTAATATATCATTAGATTATATATATTCAAATTAATTAAATAGTTTCTCTTACAAACAAGCGTTACTTTCAAAAAATCAAATAAACCTTATTNTCCCGATTATCCGAGTTAATGTGGACCACGACTAACTCGGATAACCGAAAAACTCGGTTAGAGAGAAGAGTATAAAAAAGGAAAATAAACGAGTACGTATAAATGTAATATATTTAACAAATACAAAATTTATATGAATACACTACATACAACTAATATTATAATTAAAAAGCTTACTTAAAAACATTTAACGATCATACTTTACGAGAATTAAGGAGTTTTTACATAAAAAAGTCCTTACTCGTTTTTTGTTTTACATTACTTTGGCGCTTTTCTGCAGTAATGTTGCGCCATTTCTTCAGGGATAACAAGGCAAGTGTCTTGTTGTTCTATGTATATTTAATAGCACTTTCGATAGCTTTTAGTCCATTTGTATGAGAGATTTTTACATGTTGATTTTCATCGCCTCTGTCTTCATCATCTTGCCAGATTCATTTTTTACGATATTAACAATCATCGGTAATCTCGTGTTGTTCGTCAGCTTGTTTTCCAGTGTGTTAGGAAGATAAAATTCAGAATTTTTTTCAGCGGTAGTTATAAAAATAAAAAATGAACTAGATCGAAAAAAAAAATCCTTGAAATATTTAATAGCTCGGTTAAAACGGAAACTCGAATAATCGGGGCCCGGATAATCGGGTCTCTACTGTATATACAAAGTTAAAAATATTAAGAAATTTGGAAAATAATAAAAAATAATGACAAGAGAAGAAAATTATTAAAAATATTTTTCAAAAATATTTATAAAAAAAAACATTTTTGAAAAATATTTTTAATAATTTTCTTCTCTTGTCATTATTTTTTATTATTTTCCAAATTTCTCAATATTTTAACTTATTTTAGGAGTTCTATATTAAAAGTGTGATCATAAACTTTAATATATATTAAAGTTTATGATCACACTTTTAATTTCATGCCCATTTAAATTATCAATTGTATACACGAACATTCTAGGACATGCATCGAAACTTCCATAAATTCGACAAAAGACAGGGTATTACCGGGATAGTTCAAAAATAGATGAACATTTTTGGACCATCCCGGTTAATCGATCGAGGGTATGATATTATTTTAATAGAAATATTACGTACCATCAATGACATCTCTTGGTGCATCCGGGATGTTTTCTTCAACTAATTGCACAGTTGTATTCAGGTAAGTTTCCACTAAAGAACTAATTATTAAATTTGATTCAACTGAGCAGACTTTAAAAATATCTTGAAGACACTGATTCGCATTAACCATAGGCCTGCAAAAAGTCAATGCATTTTAGGGAACACTTACTACATTCAAATAACACTGAAATCAGTTTCTTCTAAAACATGCATTAATGTTTTCGAAATTTGAGTCGATAGATCAAAAATTTAATGTCTCAAAAACAACTTACAAAGATAGGGGTTTAAATTTTATTCTGTTGCAAAGGTAAAGAACAAAATCATAAAACCCCGGCCAGCATGCATCAACGGCATCTCTATGAACCAAATAAATGCAGGATCTTGCTCTTTCTTTCATCAGCACTATTTTAAGGAAAAAATTATCAGAGTCAAATATCAGTGTAATCGATGTAAAGTTTGCATTTTGTTAATTACATTATATATGTCAATTTTGTTTCAAGTTCAACAATGATTTTTTTAAGAAGATAGTTATTAAGGCCTTTGTTAGCTATGGCTTTTCATTAAATTTTATTTACCGACGTATTGCTTTATTGAAATTACATACATTTGCAGGCTTGTTTACTCAATTTAGACTTATAAACCTTTGTCAAGTAGAAGGACAGATAGAAGAATTTAGAGAAGAACGTCACAAAGAATACATCCAGGGCTGCGACGGGATTCGAACCCGCCACCTTCACGCTTCGCACTGCGTTTGACGGGCGATACCACTAGGTCTGGGAGACCCATACCTTCGCATTTCTTAAGCTTATTGTTTTCCCCTACATATGCAGCCAAGAGTTCTCAATTACGTAGTGCAGCTTACAAAATATTGTCAAATTGAAGAACGGATAACACAATTTAGAGAAAGACAACACGAAGATAAATCCTAGGTTACAGTGGGATTCGAACCCTCTATCTCCCGACTATATAGTGTTTGGAGAGCGATGCCGCTAGGCCAGGGGAAACCCCTAACGTACTTTATTCATTTATTTATGGGTACACATACATTAGCATGCCTGTGTACTTACTATAAAGTGCGACTAAAAATTCCTTGTAAATTTGGAGAATATGTAGTATAGGTTAGGGGTAGATAGGTATTTAATTTACGTAGCAGTAGTGCTGCACAATGAGCTATCGGCGACAGTCTGGGAAACATCCTTGAGGATGAACCGAAAACATGCCATCACAATTCTGATCCTCTGCTGAGGGGATGACTCCTCTGCGTCGGTAGCCCGACGACCTGCGTGCGAAGTCGAACACTTTACGGTAGAACAGTTTAACGAGAACCAATACCGAACACCCTCGCAGACTGATCCCTATGCAGACTGATCCAAGTCGTCACCCACCCGCACACTGACCGCAGCCAGTGGTGCTTGACTTCGGTGTTCTACTGGGAACCGTATCTTAACGATCACTCCACTGCGGCACAAATTGAAGAACAGATAACACAATTTAGAGAAAGACAACACTAAGATAAATCCAAGGCTACAGCGGGATTCGAACCCGCTATTTCCAGATTATATAGTGTTTGAAGAGCGATGCCGCTCGGCTAGGGGAAACCCCTAGCGTATAGTATTTATTTATTTATTTATTGGTACACATACATTTGCATGCTTGTGTACATATTATAAAGTTCTGCTAGAAATTCCTAGTAAAATTAGAGAATATGTAGCACAGGAAAGAGGCAGGTAGATATTTTATTTACGTCACACTGAAACAGGACAATGAGCCATTGGCGACGGTCTGAGAAACATCCTTGAAGACGATCCGAAGACGTGCCATCACAATTTTGATCCTCCGCTTCGGTAGCCCGACTACCTGCGCGTGAAGTCAAGCAATTTAAGGTAAAACAGTTTAACGAGCACCTATACCACGCACCCTCTGTCCATACATAAGCTGATCAAAGTGGTCACCCACCCGCCTACTGACCGTAGGCAGTGATGCTTGATTTCGGTGTTCTACTGGGAACCCTGTCTTCATGATCAGTCCACTGCGGGACATAACACAATTTAGAGGAAGATAACACACAGATAAATCCAGTGGTATTCGAACCCGCTACCTCCAGACTTTATAGTGTTTATAGGATAATACAACTCAGCCAGGGGAGACCCTTTACGTCTTTGAAAATGATAAGTGTATAAAAATGTATAAAAAATGGTGAAAATGTATAAAGAATGATGAAATGTATAAAAAATGATCAGGATAAGAAAGCAGAAATGAAAGACATCCCGAAACGTTGTTGTTGGTTTACGTCGCAACTAGAGCTGCACAATGTGCTATTACCGACGGTCTGGGAAACATCCCAGAGGATGATCCGAAAACATGCCATCACAATTTTGATCCTGCACAGAGGGGATGGCTCCTCTGCTTCTGTAGCCCGATGACCTGCTTGCAAAGCCGAGCACTTCACCGTAGAACAGTTTAATGAGGACCGATACCGCTCACCTTCGGTCCCTTTGCAAGCTGATTAAAGTGGTCACTTACCCGCACACTGACCGCAGTTAGTAATATTTGACTTCGGTGTTCTATTGAGAACCGTTTCATAACGATCAGTTCACTGTGGGATACATAACGAAACGGATGCGGATTTAAAACTACTACCTCTCGACTAAAGAGTGTTTCGAAGTGTAAAAGACACTACTCATCCAAGAAAGACCCAGCAATATATATTTTTTATCAAGTTCCCAAACTAGTCTTTTCCCACAAAACTTCCTTACAACTAAATGCCCCAACAGTTTGAAGCAATTTTTAGTTAAAAAAGTAAATAAAATTAGTTTATTTTTACTGATTAAAAACTATAAACAATTTCTATAACTAAAAAATTGCTTGTAAAATTTATTGCATAGAAAGTTTTTGTATTAAAATTATATTCTATTTATAAATTTGAAGTTATGAAAACATTTTAAATTTTGAACTCATCGGTAAGTTGAAAAGCGTAAATAAAAATTCAATATTTGATTTTTTTTCCAACTTCAAAAATATTCCTTTGTGCTGTACCACCATTGCATAGAAAAATATTAAACAATACAACTTACAGGGTATTACAACAGTTTTTTCCGTTTCAACAGGCTCCTCGACGATTTGTCTTGATCTACGCATCAAATCATTATGCATTCGAGGAGAAAGCATCAGATCCTCTTTGTACTTTAAAGCAGCTTTTGATATGTTCGCATTTGAAGGATCTAAATACGTAAGCATATATTATTGAATGCACTTATGCCGATAAAAACCGTTATAGTCTATAACTGTTATAGTCTCATACAGTCTGACTATTTGATTATATGAGTTTGACTATGGAAGACTATAAATGTTTTAGTCTATAACAGTTTCAGTTTTATATAATCTAACTATCAGTTTATATGAGTTTGACTATGTGAAACTATAACTGTTTTAGTCTATAACAGTCTTAGTTTCATATAGTCTGAGAATCTGATTATATGAGTTTGACTATGTGAGACCATAACTGTTTTTGTCTATAACGATTATAATCTCATACAGTCTGACTGTCTGATTATATGAGTTTGACTACGTTTCAGTAACTGTTATAACTGTTTAACTGCTATAACTGTTTAACTGCTATAACTGTTAACTGCTATAACTGTTAACTGCTATAACTGTTAACTGCTATAACTGCTAACTGTTATAACTGTAATAACTGTTTCAGTTTATAATAGTTTTAGTTTCATGTGTTCTGACTATCTGAGTATGAGTGTGATCTGAGTATGTGTGATACTAACTGTTTTAGTCTATAACAGTTTTAGTTTCATACAGTCAAACTATCTAATTATATGAGTTATCTGACCGACTACGTGATGTCTGACTACGAGATATCTGACTATGTGAGACTATAACTGTTTTAATCTATAAAAGTTTTAGTTTCACATACACTGACTATCCGGTTATATGAGTTTGATTATGTGAAATTATAACTGTTTTTGTCCATAACAGTTATAGTCTCATATAGTCTATCTATCTCGAGATGAGCTCTAAGTGAAGTCAGGGGCTCATCTTGCATTTGCCAGACTTTAACATATATTTCGAATGTATGTTAAAATAAAAAGTTTGGCAAGTAAAGGCTGTTTATGCGCAATGCTGACCACATTGTCAATCCATTGGTTCTGAAATCGTGGAGCCTTTACCACCATGAATCCCCTAATCAACAATGTGCTGTTGAGGAAATGCTTTACTTTAAAATAAAAATTACTTTCCAAATATTTTTGACTTTTTTCCTTTGTCCATTTTTTCATTATTTCACCTTTTAAATATCCATTTGACTTTTTTTATATACTGGGATGCCCTTTTGCTTGTTGCTGCTTTGCTATAATTGTTTTTATGGCCTAAAACAGTTTTCACAATGAAAGTTGAAACTATTCACTTTAAGTATATGTACTAAAACGAATTCTATACTTGATTAAAAAGCCTCACTGGCTTAAGATAATATCTTTATCCTTTTTAAAGCCATTTAAAATGTGATCTTTGCATTTTTTTTTATATGATTTTAACATAGTGCTAACATTTTTTTTTAATTGCTATCTTGTAAATATCAAAAATTCATATACGGTTAGGGAAAGATGATAAGAACTGAAATGGTTAGGGTAGGAAAAAAAAGTTAGCAAAATTATCTACATACAAGCTCTTTCATGATAATAGTCTTTAATATATAAATGTTTAGACTGTTTTTTAAAAATAAAACAAAAAAACATGAAACTAAGGAGTTGCAAATTAAGTTGAAATCTAATAACAAACAAAAACGATATCGAAATCGAACGAACAATTGCATAGGAAGCCGGTACTGAAAATACCTAAACTAAACCAGTTTGATTGACTGAGGGAAGTTGAAATGCAATTATTTGAAATACCGTAAGTTTCATTAAGCTATCAAACAAGTTTTAAAGTTTTCCCTCCCGCTTCTCACAGTACTGACTCGTTATATTTTGATGACGTTTATGTTTTCTTAATTTTTATCTGTTACATGTTATTTGATATCTTATATGTTACTTTATATGTTATTTGTTATCTGTAATGTGAATTATATTTTTGAAAATAATTCCAAAACTAAAAGTTTCTAATAATAACTATAACAAATAATAACTATGATAAAGTTTTTAAAAATAAAAATATTCTACCAACTCTATAACTGTAACTCAAACTTGCTTATCTGAATGATACGTAATGTCGTTTATTTTCAAAAGGTGCCCAATTTGTTGTCTGTAAACATGGATTTTTTAGCGGAATCAAAATATGCTTTTCCCTTTAAAATTTTGAAACGTTTTTAGAAAAAAAATTATAAATTAATAGTTTAAGATTATTTCGAAAATAGTATTTTTTTTTCTTAAAAGCCAACGTGGTACTTTTAACTAAAATTTAACCTCGATAAGTATTCTCAATTTAAAAATTTTCCTTGAACTTATAAATGTTCACAGTTGCAGAATTTTAAAACTTTTATGCCAAAAGAAATTACTTGCGATTAAAATTACCCTAGGAAGACGAAGCCGTCTACCTGACCACTATGAAAGAAGGATGTTAGACATTCCTATAAAAGCAATTTTAATGGCCTTTAGCACACTTTCATAAAAGTTTGAAAGACGAAGATAGTCTTTTATACTTTCATGATTTTCGTAACTAATGGCCATTATCAATTGTTTATGTAAAATTTTAGACTTTTATACCAATTTTCAACTACTAAAAAATATTGATGAAAAATTTAACAACTAATTTTTTTTCAGAGCCCCTCTATTTTTTAAAAATATAAATTCTATTTGAAAAAACGTTTCTGGATATTTAATTAATATAACTATAAATACGGAGATCCTCAGTCTGTTGTTCTGAATTTAAATTTTTTAGATTTAAACAATATCGTCTTAACTAATAAAACAATATTAAATGGAAAAAGTTACTGACCATGCTTATTTTAAATATATTCAAGGACAAAAGTTCTCGTAAAAATTATTTAGACCTTTTTTAAATAATGTAACTTACCAAAGTGAGACTTTATGAGAAATGAAAGATGTTCATAGTTTTCTGAGTGCGCCAGACAGTCACTGATCAATCTCATCTTACAAACTGATCGACATTCCCTAGTTAAATGCAAACATTGAATTAATGGGAATACATAAAAAACGTTCATCTATTTCATTTAATTTTTGCATACATATAGGCAATTAAAGACATATTATGGAATTAGTCTACATGATTCCTCCAATTTAAAAAAAATATTGGGAGTACAAATTAGTTCGGTCCGTTTTCAGAAGATGGCTCTGGCTGTTATGAATGTTTCATAGTGACAGCTGGTTTCGGTGGTTTCAGAGAGGTTCGATATCTTTCAATAATATTCAGTTCATATCGTTTTGAGTTTCATGCAAAAACCCTGTTTTCGAATTTTGTGGTAACTACTAGGAAGCATTTGCGGGAAGTTTTATGCTTCTGCTTTAATTGGAAGAAAAGTGCAGCTGAAGAGCATCGAATGCTTGTAGAAGTTTATGGTGACAATGCTCCAACTGATAAATCATGTAGGGAACGGTTTCGACTCTTCGAGAATGGTGAATGGAATGGTGTCACTATGTGAATGGTGAATGGGATACTATGAGCTGCTACAACCTGGCGATTCCATTACGGACGGACGGTCGGTATAGGCTACAATTAAATCGTTTGAGTCGCGCCTTACGAGGAAAACGGCCGGAATACGAGCAAAAACATGACAAAGTTATTCTTCTGCATAATAACGGACGGCATCATGTCGCAATAGTCGCAAAAAATTATTTGGAAACGCTCAAGTGAGATATTTTACCGCACCCGCCGTATTCACCGGACATTGCTCCTTCTGATTACTGGTTGTTCCGACGGATGCAGCATAATTTTACAGGTTACCGGTTCACTTTTTGTACTCCCAAACTAATTTGTTTGGGAGTACAAAAAGTGTAATCAAAACTGACCAAACTAATTTGTACTCCGAATTAAATGTTTCTTTACTAGTTTACGGCATGCGTAGATAGAAGACATATAGAAAGATTTCATGCATATGTTTATCAACTCAGTTTATGATGCATACCACAAAATTTATGATTAAACCACGGTAGCTATATTTCTCATTGCATTTATATAAAGCTATTTATAAAATTATATTAAGGTTATACATTTGAAAATGATTCATACAAAAATTTTATATTATAATCACCATAAGCATTTGATTGCTATCTCCTTAAGAAATCTTAATGAGATGAAAGGACTTATCTTAATAGACTTATCTTCCATATAAGGAAGATGACTCCAAATTCCTTATGCGGTTTATTGTAAAAATACCATTTAAAAAATCTTCAGTAATGTTTAAATTGCCAATGTTTAACGAAATAAAAATATTTATATCCTACAATGCGTTTTAGGACTTGAAGCTGCAGAGATATTAAATTCAACGACCCCCTTGGCAGACAAACAAGCGATAGGGAATATTGTTGAAAATATGTATTTTTTGCTAAAAGGGGGAAAAAACATACTACGCTACGTGTGTTTATAAATTTAGTGTATTATACTTTTAAAATTTTTATATGCTATATACTATATTTTTGATACTTATATACCGATGATACTCATATAATTGATACTCATGTACTTGAATACAATACAAAAATACTTGCTTTCTTTCGTAATTTATAGCTGATCCCTCAAACCTTAGAAAGCTTTAAAATTCCCTGATAAGTAGAGTAATCGTATGATCTAAACACATATATATATATATATATACATATACATATATATATA